AACAAAAATCTAAATTAAAATTTATATTGATGTATTATATATGTTTATTAAAAATAGAATATATAAATATAGATACTTTTTTACTACTCCTCTTTTTCTCTCTATTGCTCACTTCTAACTTGTTTTTTGAACAATCTCAAACATTTTTTGGCTGTGCCATAGCCATCAATCAACTGTTTTTATTCGGTGCCACAGGCAGAACACCAAATTCAGAAGCAGACGAACATGCTTGTCCATCATGGTAGCCATTTGCTCGGTCATACACCCAGGGCTGTATTTACCACAAGGCAAACAAGGCATTTGCCTTGGGCGGCACTTTCAGGGGGGCGCCAAAAAATGCCACCCCACGCTCGAAAACAAATGTCTTGTTTGCCTCGTGTCCTGGGGCTTTCCTTCTTAGGGCCCCCCTCCCCAAGGTGTTAAACTACTAATATTATAGCCAGGTGGCAAGGAAGCGCTGTCCTCTGCTGTTCTCGCTCTCTCACGCTCTGTGATTTTGTGAATGAGTGTAGCTGTCAGTGCGTGTGTAGCTGTCAGTGTGTGTCTGTGAGTGAGTGTCAGTGTGTGTCTGTCATTTTATGTGTATCTGAGAGTGTGTGTCTGTCAGTAAATTGGTATGTCAGTGTGTGTCCATCAGTGAAAGTGTGTGTTGGTTAAACAGTGTGTTTGCCAATGACTGTGTATCTGCAATTGAGTGTATGTCGGTGAATGTATCAATGAGGGCCTGTGTCTGTCAGTCAAAAAAGTGGCCTTGACATGAATTGGGGGGCCAAATTTAGATTTAGGGGGTGCCCAGATTTAGTTGTGCCTAGGGCAGCACAACTCCAAAATACACCACTGCATACACCTGAGGCTCTCCTGAAATACGGAAATTGGCCAAACTGTTAATTTACCTAAATTCGAACAAATTGCAATTCAGCCGAATCTGATTACACAAATCTAGTTGTATCATCACTCCCGTCTAGACACATGCTCCAGACAAATATAGGAACCTATCGAGTCTACCCAGTCAATTGGCCATATGTTTGACATATCTGCTCAACAGTAACCCCAGTCTTCAACACATTAAACGATTTTATCCAAAGTGTACATTAAAACACATCCTGTTGTTGTTAGTGAATCCACAAATCTATCCATCTATCCATAAGCCACAAATCTAGATTCAAACTCTAGTTGGCAAGTGATTCCTACAACATAATACATGTGACATTAAAATAATCGACCAAGACTTAGTTACAGGAAACTTTAAATAGCACATTTTAGTAAAGAGAGAATTTTGTGCAGAAACAAAATATGGATTTCCATTTCAAATAGATATGTTGCCTTACTTAACTCTAATGTCGGGCCAATCAGAAACTTGTTGCCCTCTATAGCTATAGCTATAGCTTTTCGAAAGGTGTTCTCGTGGTTCATCGAAAGATGACATTGATAAATTTAGTATTGTTTTGGACTAAGTTGTCTAGCTCAGGGGTAGGCAAGCTTTGGCACTCCAGATGTTGTGGACTGCATCCCCCCTGAGGCTATGCCAGCAATAGGGCTGTCAGAGCATATTGGGAGATGTAGTCCACAATCACTGGAGTGCTGAAGGTTGCCTACCCCCTGGTCTAGCTCATAGCTAAACAACCATTAGCTCACCATTAGCTGTCAGATTACAATTATTTTGCAACATTCTTTTCCAGAAGCAGTCTTTGCATGAACTGAAACGTTGACCTTTCTCTGCCAAACGGTATACAAAAGACAGCCAATGACGTAATGACAAAGAGTAACAACGTGATAATCAAGTGGGTTGGGGAAGTGCAACGTTACGATATTGTTATTACAACATGAAATTCAAGTTTTCTTTGGCAACATAAAATAAAGTGTTGGCATAATTTATTTAGCAATTGTTCATCATTTTACTGTAACAGGATGTCAAACAATTACAAAAGTCCAAAAGAGTACTCCAGAATTCATCGCGAAGAGGGCGTTTAAAGCTCTGTTTAGTTTCTATTTCTGGGCATAAGGTAGAAAAATTGAGATCACTGACTAACAAAAGTATTTGGAGAGGTGGTAAAAGGCTGAGAACATATGGTCATCTGCTGGTACAACATTCTGAATCTATAGTATGTATCCACTTTCAAATAATAGATCTCTGAATGAAGGATTGTGCAGTAGGATTCTTACTATATAATAATCATGTGGTCACCAGGATCTCACAAATACAATATGGGATAGTATAACTAAATACTCTTTTCTGCTTTCTGTTTTTATTTCACTTATACATTTGTGCGGATTATGTTTACACAAAGTATTATTTAATGGAAGCTTTCAACATCATAAGCAATATAACCAGAGCCAGTGCAACCACAAGGTGGCATAGACAGCCAGCTTAGGGCGCTCTGGCCCAGTGGGTGCAAAGTCTGGGTGACAGGTGGGACAGGATGCTCAGAGCTCCCCGTCCCACCTGCCGGACCGGACTGACACTGACCCATTCAGAGTTTTCCTGATTATTTATCATTTATTTTATACAAAAGCTATAAAGAATTGAGAATGCAAAACAATACAGCATATTTATGAGGCCAAAAACTATAGAATGCATTAGTTGTATTGGTGCCTGGAGTATCTCTTTAAGGAGATTATACTTCTCTGTGCAAATACCATATTAACCAAGGTTAAACGTATTGTACACATTATAAATTAATCATTGTTACTAAGTTAACTCCATTGAGCATGAGCTCAAGTATCAAAGTCTTTGCCAAGAGTGATAAAGTAAAATAATTAAATTTACCGCTTAAACTATTGTCTTCTCCAGTTATTGTGCAATATCGCACCGTCACTACCAGGCATCATGAAAGCAGGTAATGAAGCAGGTACAGGGAGTGAAAATAGAACAGCAAGATAAATACTATTAATATAAATATTAATTTCAGCGGAGCATTGTTGGTCACCTCTTCTACTGGATTGATAAAGGTCACTTGCACCTGCAGTACACCTTCTTCATGTGTCCTCTTGATTGGACACAGGTTTTAGTTGTTGTAACTTCTAAATGTTAATACAGACAAGTTGAGCATTATCTGGACACTACAAATATTGGGAAACTGCATTTACCATTGTATATTGAGTATTTTCTGAGACCTAACAGACAGACAAGCAGTCTGATATGTAAATGCTAAAGGTTCTCTCTGTACTGACACATGTGAGCATGTTTGAGAACTTAAAGGACCGCTATAGTGCCGCCGGGCTGAAGGGGGGAGTAAGGGGCAAGAGCCGCGCGCGCATTCAATCAGTCCATAGGAAAGCATTTCTCAATGCTTTCCTATGGACGTCAGCGTCTTCTCTCTCACTGTGATTTTCACAGTGAGAAGCGCGGAAGTGCCTCTAGCGGCTGTCAATGAGACAGCCACTAGAGGCTGGATTAACCCTCAGTGTTAACATAGCAGTTTCTCTGAAACTACTATGTTTACAGCTGCAGGGTTAACCCTAGATGGACCTGGCACCCAGACCACTTCATTGAGCTGAAGTGGTCTGGGTGCCTATAGTGGTCCTTCAATGGTATTAAGTTCTTCTACGTACTGATAGTAAAAGGGTTAAACCTAGCATATCCTATTATTTTATAGATACTCTGTTAGCAACGAAAAAAGAACTGCTGGAAATATTACTAAAAGTGGTTGAAGCAGATATGGCTAGCCTTCTTTCATTTGAATAGGAAATCCAAGAAATAATTATTGGGGTGAAGGGGAACGTGTGTTGCATAACATGTGGATGCAAGCATGCCTTTATATAGTATATAACGTAACATATTTCTTTTATTTCTATACATTTGTAGCTGTTTTACAATGTGCCATTGTTTTCCAAAAGGAACGGCCAAACGTGGCAGCTCAATAGCTTTCAGACAATTAATATCTCCATCCTTTGTTCAGGTCCAGTGCAAGCACTACCATAAGGCGGCACCAACCCGAGAAGTGCGAAGATGTTCTGGTGACCGGCGGAGCACAGAGAACCCCTCTGCTGCCAGTCACTCTCTGTAACCAGGCCCAATGCCCATGTTACTAATTTACTGAGCTGGCTGTGTGATGGGAAAAAAGTGTGCAGCCACGAGGGGGTGGTTCCAGCAAAGGGAGCAGCAAGGAGCAGCCGCGTCCAATCTCTTCATGAGCTAAAGACTGCTGGGATACATGACATCATATCTTGGCAGCCGAGTGCTGTGGAGAGAGATGGGCAACTTAAATTGGGCAGCAACACCTGGTGGGACCTCTGCTTAACAATTGTAATAAACAGTAAGTGTGTGTGTATGTGTGTGTGTGTGTGAGTGAGTGTATAAGAGAAAGTGAGTGTGTGTATAAGCGAGTGTGTATGTATGAGCCAGTGTGTGTGTGTGTGTGTGTGTCACAAGGGGGTTAAGAGACCACATAATTGGGATGCAAAAGCATGAAACGAATGACAAATAGGGGATACAATATGCGAAAAGAGAAACGAATAGGTGCTACGATGCACAAGAGGGGCAAGGGGGGATATTAGACAGACAGGTGAACATGAATTTTGGGTGGGCAATATCCATCTTCACCCGTGTAGACAAAAATCCTTGCACCGACCGTGATTAGTCAACACAAAAACACATGGAGTGCTTCTACTCATTGATATATAATATGTACATTCAGTTATGGTACATTTGTCTTCTTGTTAAATTATTGTGCAGACAACACTAATAATTAAGTAGCCTACTTATAAATAATGAAACAACGCTGTTACTAGGTTATTCTTGCCACCTCCCTGCCTTGGATCTCCTGTTATGTGGAATACTATAATTTCAAATACCATCTTTAATATCACCATGTGCGCACATACACATATCTATCACTGATTTACAGCACTGTGTGAACATTCCGAACTAAAATATCCTGCATGCATTTTTTTTCCATTTAGATGCAAAAGTTGCTCTGGAAGAGGTTGATGAAGATAAGAAGGAAATCATCATTCTTAGAGTCCCATATAAAAGGCACAGACTATAAGAGAGACCAGTCAGCATCACAGTGTGGACTCATACCTTCCCACAGGCTTGCTGTATGTTGAGCACTTGTTGAGTTACAAAAACATGCAAGAGTAATTGTGTCAATTTAAAAGAACACAGTGAAAGTACATTTTGTAATTACTTAAACTGTTACATAAACCTGCAACCAGAGGATATTGAATGAGCTTATAAAGAACTAACAAATCACAACTTTTAGAATACAATTGCATAAATTTGCTTTGAAAATTTGACTTTGATACGGGGTGTCAGGAAGGTGGAGGAACCTAAAAATACTGACTTGTAGGATTCAAGAGAGAATGGCGAGGTCAAGTGACGGAGAGATACGGATAAACAACTAAACTAGCCAAGGTCGAAGAAACACAGAGATCAGGAGAAACGTATAAACAGACAATTTCAGATACCAGAAAAAGGTTATACAAGGATAGCTCTCTTCGGCTACTTGAACCACAGCAGGGCAGCATGACGTGGGGGAGGTAAGTATATATATAGGCAGTACTTAATTTCTATTGTCCCCATCATAGACAAATTCCTTATGTTTCGTAGGTGATAGAAAATCTTTTTGAATGATTAAAAACATTACCATAATGAGCCGAATTCAATTCAGCAAATTCGGCATTTGGTCCCGAATTCATTGATCCATAAGAACCCGCAGTGTGTGAGCTTGCAGCATCACGGAGAACACCGGTGGACCCAGGTAAGAGCCATACGATCCTGACAAGGGGACAGTCACTTCCCAGGATTTCTAATACTACATTTATTCATTTATATTTTTAAAGAGATATGTATTTGTGAGGTGTTGAAATAGTAAATAGAGAAATCTACACCTCTTTATCCTGCAAGTGGGCTTCTCCATCTTTGCTCCCTGTTAATCATTGATAAAAAGCTCAGGCCTTTGTCCCTAGCAGTCAGTTACTGTTACTCCTCCTTCAGTGCAGTTCGTGCCTTGGCTGTGCCAGGACTGAACAGGATTGTGATGTAAATTGCTAAATCTTTAATATACATTTAAAATAAAACAGAGCATGACAAAAAAAAATGTGAAACACAAGTTATAGGTTGAATTAATGGTGTAATTTCCAGCAAAGTGATAGTTCTTCTTTAGGCCATGCTGAGTCTTCCTCTTTCTGTGTGGTTAGAAATTCACTGGAAGAAAAGTGTAGCTAGTTTTCATGTGGAGCATGTTAAAGGGAACCTATAGTCCCAATAATAAGAATTGTTATTTCGGGATGATAGGTTCCTTTCTGCCCATCTCCTTTAAAAAAATAAAAGTAAACGAAAAAGTTAACTATTGATTGCTTTGAAAATCCCCTAGAGGGACTGAAATGCCGATCTATTTTATGGATTTACAATAAAATTTGGATTTTATTCAAGACCATGAGTGCAGCCACTTCTTTACAACACTATATAAACATATATATAGTGATATTCCCCTATGATTAAGCTTAATGTAAAAATGTTGCTTTATAGGATATACAAAAAAAGATGCTTCTTGCAGGATATGCCTACTTGCCTAGTTACCTTATTAGAAAAAATAAGAATATAGAGGGAAGTGTTTTACCTGTCCTTAGAATAGCTATGCTAATATAAAAAAATAAAAATAACAACCTCTAGAGAGGTAGAACCCATACAAGGTCAGCATAATCAAGGAGCAAGCCTAAGTCAGAAATTCTCATTTTAAATTAACCACAGTCAGGTAAGCCGGATACTCACATGGAGCCGAGTCAAATCTCACAAACACTATAATTGACAGATATATTTCTATATGAACAGTTATGGTTGTGCATAATACCTCCATGTGCAGTAGTACGCAGCAACATTTGGTGCGGTCGTTAACCAAAATGCTAAGGGGAGAAAAACAACCAGGGTATTTCCAGAAGTAAGTGCTGAGTCTGCGACAAAAGGGAATTTTAGAAGTAGGGACATCCCTTAGGTTTCATTGAAATTAAGAAGTCATTGGTCAACATAAGTGTATATTATATCAGGTTATCTTGCTTAACATGTAGCAAGCTCTGATACATATATATATATAAATTGATTTTCTCACCCCTCCTGGGTGGTATGTTTATTCCTCATTCTAGGGTCCTCTTCCAGAGGCCTGGGAGTTTGAGGGTTCTGCGCAGTATCTTAGCTGTTCATAGAACTGCACTCTTCTGGACAGTGATCTCAGATGTCCCACCTGGAGTCTGTTGAAGCCAATCCCCCAACTTGGGAGTCACAGCCCCGAGTGCTCCTATCACAACTAGGACTACTACTGCCTTCACTTTCCACATCCTTTCAATACCCAGGGACTATAACATCAGGAAGAAGGAACATGAGAAGGTGGAGAGAATATAAATAAATACACACACACTGCACACTTCCCACACACACTGAACACCTCACATACACACACTCTTTTTTCACTCTCTACAGCACCTAGCCACACATATTACAACAAAACTAAAACCAACCTTTACACAAAGCACCACACCAAAATGGGCTCACTCTACACACACTCAATCCCACAAGCAGGCTCCAAACACATGCACAATACCCTTTCCTGGCCCTTTTGTCCTCTGGTATCCCACTTATGGAGACACCAGAGACTTGGGAATTGCTATAGACAACAAACTATGCAACAATGTGCAATGTCAATCAGCAGTGGCTAAGGCCAGTAAGGTATTGTCATGCATGAAAAAGGGCATTCATTCTCGGGATGAGAATATCATTTTGCCTCTTTATAAATCACTGGTAAGACCCCATATTGAATATGCTGTGCAATTTTGGGCACCTGTTCTAAAGAAGGATATTATGGCACTAGAAAAAAGTGCAGAGGCGGGCTACAAAATTAATAAAAGGAATGGAACATATCGGCTATGAAGAAAGGTTAACAAATTTAAACCTATTTAGTTTAGAAAAACGTCGCCTGAGAGTGGATATGATAACATTATACAAATATATTCGGGGCCAATACAAACCATTGTGTGGAAATATATATTTACAAACCGGACTTTACATAGGACACGAGGCCATGCGTTTAGACTGGAAGAAAGAAGATTTCGCCTAAGGCAAAGGAAAGGTTTTTTTACTGTAAGAACTATCAGGATGTGGAATTCTCTGCCTGAGCAAGTGGTTTTATCAGAGTCCATACAGATGTTCAAACGGCTACTAGATGCATACTTGCAAGAACAGAATATTCAAGGATATAATCTTTCAATGTAGGGTAATAACTGCTTGATCCAAGGATAAATCTGACCGCCATTCTGGGGTCAAGAAGGAATTTTTTCCCTAGCTTGTTG